ATTTTAAATTCTACTACAAATTTAATCATTTAAATAAAAATGGAGAGAGCTTACCCTATTAAGGCAAGACACGTTAATAGTCTGTTTGGTGAGAGTGAAAAGTGAATGGATAAAAAATGGTGGATGGAAAAAAGAGTTTTTCTTGTTTGGTTGATGGTATTTATGGTATTTAAAGGGTAATAATTTTTTTTATATGTTTTCTTACTCATACCAAATAAAATAATATTAAGATAGGGATTAGATTAGATTTATGAAACACTTCTTTCCTTTCAACCAAACAAAATAGAGGAAAAACACTACCTTTCTTTGAGGATCAAAACTATTATTCTTTTTGCTTTTTCATTTTTTCTATTTTTCGTCTTTCTTATCAAAAGGTCATGGGGCTGTTTGGATGATTTTTAAGATAGAGATTGGATTGGATTTATGAAACCTTTTTAAATCTAAGATATATGCTCCGTTTGGTATGATATAAAAATAAAATAATGAAAAGTTGAAAGGATGAAAATTTAGAGGGATAAATACAACATCATATTTTGTAAAGAAGAATAATAGGAAAGATGAAAAAGTAAATGAATAAACTTTCTTTCTAACTCACCAAAATCAGAAAAAAAAGGTTAATGAAAAGTTAATTATTTGTGTTGAAATCTATGTTATTTGTTTATATATCATTTGATATATACATACAATATGTATACATTAATTTCATATATAAATACAATCATAAAATATGTATATATATATATTCTAAAAAACATTAAAATTTTATTTTTTTTCATCTTACCTAGGGGTAAAAATTTTCGACTCAACACGATTCAAACTTGACATAAATTTTATGACACGTACTTGATTATAACTCAACACAAACTCGAAAATGACCTGCCACACGAACACGAAATATAAACGACTCATATTCAGTTCAACCCGCCAAATTCAAAATTGATACCATCAACCCGTTTATTTAAAAAAAAACACTTTCTTCATTTTCTCATTTGTATAGTAATACGAAATTAACGTGTTTAACTAGTATTATAGACATAAAATATTAATTATATTGTAATTATTTATTAAGCATTAACATAAATATTATATAACACAAGATATTTTTATTTATTTAAGCTAATTTTTAGTTTGTTGAAAAAGTATGAGCATGAATTTAATTTAGTGAAAATAGAATATTAGCATTAAATTTTTTATTCAAAATTTATTTGTGTCAATACGAATACGAACACAAACATGAGACGAAAATAAACAGGTCAACTCGACAAGAAACGATTAGTTAAATGAATTGAGTTAGGTTTGACTAATGTTCGACACGAACCCGTAATGATTCAACACGAATCTGACACAACACGATTCGATTGTCACTACTAATCTTAACAAGTACAAAAAAAAAATAATCATTTTTATTTTCTATCCGTCCTACCAAACACAAATGAAGGAAAATGTATCATTCATATTTTTTTCCTTGAAGTATAGAAAGTGTATCTTTTCTAATTTTCATTTCTCCTACTTTCCATCATTCCTACTAAACGGAACATTAAATTTTGTTCAACAAATTGAATAATGTACCATATCCAATCTCATGTTTGATAAGTAATACAAATACACATGAAATCCACATATCTATTTATACTACTATAAAATGTCAACAAAAGTGAAAAAATTTTGTTGACTAAAATACCCCTAGTGAAATAACTAATTCTTATACCATCTTTTGTACCGTTAATAAAAAATCAACAAAAGTGAAAAACTTTTGATTGACTAAAATACCCCTAATAAAATAACTAATTCTTATACTATCTTTTGTACGGTTAATAAAAATTTTAAATCTTGTAATTATTGTTGTAATAAAATAATTATTTTTATCTACCTATATCTATATTATTTATAAAGAAGCTTACTTGAAAAAAAATTAATTTTCAATTTTAACCTTAGTTGATGCTACAAAGCTCATTGTATCCGTGATAAATTCCTACTTTAACTGATTTATTACTTGACTGTGTCTATTTCTATCGGTTTTAAAATGCAATTAGGATTTTCAATAAATCAATTGAAAAGGCATTACTTTTAAATTTTATCTTGAACATTCCATTGTCAATTAATGAACATGACGCTTATGAACCTCTTGGAGTTTCGTAACTCCAAGAGAGACAGCTTATACATGTTTCGCTTGTGGCATACTTCGGAGAATTCAGAAAGATAGAATGTATTTTTGTTGTGTATTGAAGAGTCTATGGGAAAGTGTCCATTTATTTTCTTAGTCCTCTTAAGGCTTCACCCTCGCGATCTGGACGAACCCAGGCCAAAGGTTCTTCCTATTTGTTGTCGTTGCTGACCAAAAACTGTTGTCATCATTGATTGTTTTGTATGTTATCTTACTGCTATTTGTCACTAGCCTTGTTTCTAGAATCCCATTTGTTTTGATGCTTTAGTTTGTATTGGCAAGCTGTTCATAAAATCTTCTCTTAAAATTGACCATTATTGATTTTATACCAACTGTTAGCATTTCTGTGATCCTAGAGAATATACTATTCCCTTGGGTAACAGTGAATGTTTTTTGTGAGTTGTATTTAATTTAGTAACATGTTTTTTTTTTTTTTTATCTTTTTTAAACTACATTTTTAAAAACATTTGTTGAAAACTATTTTTGGCTTAGTTAAATTCATTTGCATAAACGAGCATGTTTCAATAAGCACAATCGTGCCCCTAATTTTTATTTTGGAGTAAGTAGGTTCCATTTTCAGATAATTGTGAGTAAGTGATTATAATTCTAATATTATCATGTGTTTGCAGTTTTTCACTTGACTATCTTATTGGTGCAAATTCATCATTACTGGATGGTTTAGACTCCAAAATATGATCAATCATGAGTCATAGATGGCGGCCAACACCTCTAATATGAATATATGATTTTGAACTTGTGCATATGTCGGCTATTTGAACGCTCAAACTCGAGAATAGTGTATCTAACAATATTGGTCCATGCATGAGGGTTCCTTTTATGTTCCTATAGGCCATGTTGCTTTCTTAATTTGAATCATAGCTATACATACAATTTTCATATCAACATGCACCATCAATCATGTATCTGAGGTGGTCCAGAAATTCACTAATCATGATTCATGAACTTCCTAATCATTTTGAAATGGTTTCAAATAAAAAGTAAAATTATTTGTCTTTAGATCAAAAATTTGTTTCATTGTTGAAATTTGAAACATTGTTATTCAATTTTTACGATTTCTGTTTGCCTGACATTATTAATCAAATTTAAAAATTTAACATCATATGTGATGTCAATGCCTATTACCTTCCGGTCAACATGAATAATTTAGGTTGCGTTTAATAATGTTTTTATTTTTGTGTTTTTAAAAAAAAAAAAAATTTTATTTTCTTGTGATAAAAAATAAAAATATAAAACATATTTGATAGTCATTTATGTTTAATTTATATCTATCTATCTATACTACTATAAAATATCAACAAAAATGAAACACTTTTGATTGACTATAATTCTTTTCATAAAACATAAAATTTCCTTAAACAATTTTCTTTTGTCTTCTCCAATTAATTACGTACTTCTCTCCTATTCTTTCATCTCTGTAAATTAATTATGTGCATAAACTTAATATTTTCATGTATTCATTTCAACTTTAATTATTGATTTAAACTCTAATGATGTTCATACCATTATGAGTAATAACAAAACAGTACTATCACCTTTTCTCTTACGTTTTTGTTTCCCCGTATAATGGACTCAACAACTTTTATTCTTCTAATTCTAATCACATGAATTTGTTTGAGGTTTTAATATTTATAAGTCAAAAGTTGTGTCACTACAAGAAATCTTGAAAAGTAAATCTTCAGTTGATGTTTGGGTTTAACGGTCATGAAAAAAACCCAAGAGTTTACGGTAATTACAAAAAAAACTTTGAAAATTATGTCTTTCTACTGGTTTCAAGGATTGTTGTATGATGTATTTGTTTGACACGAAAATATTCCTTCTATATTGCTGAGATCGCTTCTTAGGTAATCACCTTTGTCACTATTTATATGTGTGGGGGCTTGTGATTCTCCCAAAAAATAAAAAGAGCTTGTGGATTTGCCTTTGTATGCCGATAGTCTTCATCATAATTTTTTGTGCTCAAGCATAATGTTATAAGAACTTGTTTAGTTTTTTTGGCTATTTGATTGAATATTAGTTGGACAGTTACTTTTAACTTCAACTCAACCTTATTTTTTTTTCCACTCTTCTGTATCTTGAAAAAATATTTCAAGAAAAAGCTGCAAAAACATTGAACAACAAGTAGAAGTAAGATTATGTGATTCTCTTTTCAAGTGAGCATGTCATGTATCTTTAGACAGCTGAAAGTATCATGTATCTGACATAACCGCGTGTTAGATAGTTTATATTTTCATTGAGTGTATATTTACAATGTCAAATATAATTAGATTTTACAAAAGAATGATCAATAGACACTATTTTATTGAGTGTAACCCCACTATTTTAACTTAATGTAGGCAAATTAAGGTGTTAGAATTACAATAATCACAATAATTTATCTAATACTTTCAGTGGATTTTTGTGTCAGAGGTTTTGTGTCATGAACTTTATATTAAACACTGAAAAAATTGACAATTATTAGTTTGTGTACATTTGAAAAATATTATTTATTTTAAGTCAAGTAAATAGAAATTAAAACTTTTCTAGCTTTTGAGTCCCCCTCCCCCAAAAAAAGAAATTAAAATCTCAATATTTTTTGGAAAAAATAAAATCACAATCTTATTAAACTCACTTCGACTATTTGTATTGTCACGGATACTTTTTCTAATATTTCTGTTAAACAAAATCATAAATTCCACTAAATATTTGTTACGGAATTGCTTAAACTTATCCACCCACCCATGGATTTTGACGAAACCCTTATAAATTAGGGACCTAAAATTTTCAACTAAATAAAAAATAAAGTGATTCGTTAGACTATTTTGACAAAATCTAATCTATGAATCCCACCAACATCGTGAACCGAACAAGGCCCGTAAGGTTTGGGACAAAGATGCCACAATCCGTTAACGTTGGAAGAATGACCGGTTCCATAGGTCAACAAAAGACTTGTTCCACGCGTCGATAACGAAGGTGAAACCGCCAGGTGTCAGCGGACATCTCCACCGCACGTGAAAGAAGCACGCCGAGACGATCTCCTCCAGAGTGCTGGACACAGAATTATAGTAATTATTAATCCGCCGCACGTGAATGAAGCACGCTCACACATTATTATAATTATTAATCACACCCACCCACCCACTAAATTGAGATGTTCCCCGGGGGGGGGGGGGGGGGGGGATTAAAGTGCATTTAATGTAGAAAATTATCAATGTTATCATAATTGGATCGGTCATTGAACCAGTCGGGGGATTGAATCATTAGTTCACTGGTTCAACCAGTAGGTCATTGGTCGGACCGACTATATAATAAAAAAATTAAAAATATATATATAATAATTTAGTTAAAAAATATAGAATATGTCTAAAATACATACAATTTATCATAAAATTAATGAAATAAAAGAAACACCTGAAGTAATAATTTATTTCTATGTTTTTTTCTAGGTATTTTCTTAAAATTTCTGTTTCTCTCAGACTTTCATAAACAGCTATATCTGTTTCCTACCATGAACTAACGAGTGGTTGCAAGAATCTGTCAGATCAAGTGGTTGCTAAAGCTTTTACAAATTCCTGAAGTGACTGAGATTCCAAGCTTCAGTAAAGAAGCTCAGTCTTATTTGCAAGGCTTAATTGATGGATTTAGCCTGAGTGATGCTTTGGAAGTTAATAAAATTGAAGCAGTGGCCAACCATGATTTTACCCATCGAATCACAGCAAAACTTTTTACCTTAAAGGGAGGAGTTGACTTCGTTGAGTTGAGTTCGCTGGTCGTTGATCGAGGTCGATGGAGCCTGATCGCACTTGAGGTCGATGGAGCCTGATCGATGTCGCTGGTCGCTGATCGATGTCGAAGAACAGTCGCTGATCGCAGTTGAGCCAGATCCCTATTGACTTCTGTTCAGTGTTATGCGATTTAGGGCAAAAAAACCTCAAATCTTGTACAAAAAATAATTTAATTTATTTAAGTAATATAAATTTTAAATGGGTATTAAACCGGCCGATTTTCTAAAATTTGCCGGTTCACGATTTTTTATGAAGACCAGCCGATTTTTTGGTTTATAGCTGATTCTTTGTCTTAAGCGGTCTAATTAGAGAACCCAAATGTCGCCTCTGAAATTTTAGAATCCCTTAATTTGAAAACTCAACACTATTAATCTAATGTTTCGTTTGATACAGTGAAAAAATTATAAGATAAAAAATTAGAAGAATAGGAAGTTAGAGGGATAGATAAAAACATTATATTTGATAAGAAAATAAAATATGATGTATGAAAAAATGGATGAATGAAATTTTTTTCCAACACACTAAAATCAATCTCTCCAAAATTAAAAAAAAAAAGTGGATAAAAAAATAATTATTTGATATAAACATATATATTAATTTTATATATAAATAAAATGATAAAATATGTATTTATACTTTTTTTTAAAAATAAAAAATAAAAATCAACATTTTTATTTTTTATTTATCTAATCAAACATAAAAGAAGGAAAGTGTAGAATTTTTACTTTCTTTCCTTGGATGATATAACATATATCCCTTCTGTTTTTCATCTCTTTTATTTTATATAATTCTTATCAAACGGAATATTAGAAAATGGAATTGTTTCTTTGTGTTAGATAGAAACCTTAATTAGATCCAACACCCAATTTATGAGTTTTTTCTTGTGTGTTCCAATTTATTTGTCAATAGATCTTGGTATCGCTAACAATACAACATCAAAAATTATAATTTTTTAAGGTTAATTTATAATTTTTTTAAGATATGAGTTACAATTTATAAAAAAACATGCTCAATCATAAAAAAATTGAGATCGATTCTGAAAATTACAACTGTCGATGTTAAATTATAACTTTTAAAAATTAATTTACAACCCATAAAAGAAAAGTTACAACTGTTCAAAGAAAATTTATGAGCGATCGTGACTTTCCCTTAAATAATTATAATTTTTTCTCTTAAAAGTATAATTTTATTATAAAAAATTATAAATATCAATATGTCACATCGTTTAAAATTCTAATAAAAAATTTTTGGGGGCCATATTATTTCTCGCATTACCCAAGCGGGAAGTTGATGAAATGATATTCTCATTGTACTTTCTTTCTTTTATTTTGGTTTGACAGTTAAGTGTTCGTATTAGCTTTTTGCTGAAAGCATAGGAGTGATGGACCATTAATTATACCAAAACAAAGGGGGTATATCCGTCTTTTTGGAGATTCGAATTGAAAGAAAGAGTGAGCCAGCTAAATCCACCATCAATGTGACGAGTCATGGCTTCCGCATAACCAGATATACTCTTTTAACGGTCACGATCTACAATAAGTGAATTTGAGGTTCATTTAAGCTGAATTTCATTTGAGGCTAGAGTTTCATCTGTTGTCGTTTAAACAAGAGGGCGGGCAGCTCAGTCGGAGAGGCCGTTAAGAGAAGAGAGAGAGAGAAAGAAAAAAGAGAGAAGGAAGAGAGAAAGAGCAATCAATTCCAGGAGTCTCAAAGGTAAAGCTCGTATTGATTTGTTTTGATCTTCCATTTTTGCAGTAAAAGCTTATCGATCTGTTATCTGTTATGTTTCTCTCGTTCTCTATCTACATTTGATTTGTTTTCTTGTAGTTTTCTTCGTGGGATTTAGCTGACAATGCCGTTATTGGACTATGATCCATGGCTCTGATTCTATGTATTTCAGTTGTTTTTTTCAAAAAAATTTGTTTTCTTAATGAGATTTAGCTGATGATGCAGTCATATTGGACTGTGATCCATGGATCTGCTTCTGGGTATATTGAATTAGGATCAGACTCGGCCAATTAGGGGGAGTTGGAGTATTTTATGTGTGTATTTGCATAAAAGACATACCTTATTGTTAAATGTGCTTACTTTGTATTATAGTTATTGTTGGATATTTTTGGGTTTTCTTGGGTTGCATTTATCTGGGGGTTTCAGTTCCTCTGGAATCCAGTGAACAACAACGACTACTTAGGATTAGCTGGTGAATTTGTGGCACCACAGTAGAATAATTACCAATGCCCAAGTGTGGAGAGACAGTGCAAGCTTTGTTATGCCATTACATTTCACTTATGCAAAAGCTTTGCCATCTATATGTTAAAATGTCGGATCAACTTGTTGTGTATACTTGTAGAAGTGCACAATTGTGAATACTTCTGCACCTTACAGTCATGAAAAGTGAGTTTTGTGGTCTTTTCACTTGTATTAACATACAACTTCATTATTCTATGAACTGTGAACTTGAGAGTGTTAGAAAGTGTTGCATCAAGTGCGGTCTGTGTCAGATTTCTTATTAGGATTTCATTCATTCTGGATTGTGCTCTGGAATTGCCAAGTAATTGGAAATTCATTTATCTGGTTTATTTGTAGAATGTTCAGACTTAAGATCCTATGTTGCCTGCGGTTTTGGGAGATGGCTGTGGCATTCTTTCCATCCAAGCTTTATGTGATTCTTTTTCTGCATCTATTTTCCATCCTTTTTCGATTCCTATGATCCATACTTTCCAGTTTTAGCCCATTTATTGTAATAAATGATGTACATCAAGTTCCCTATATGTGTTTCCAGTTTGTTTTGGGATGGATCTTGTACTGTGAAGCTAACATGCATAGGACTACTCTTATTATCATGCTTATTTCCTTCCTGCAAATAAAAACTGCATATTATGATTTTTTGCTTGTGTCATCATCAGATATTACTTGCCTTATCACCTTGATTAAAAGGTTCTGTTAATTGAACTCTTAATACAAATTAGGGTGTGATCTATGGCTAAAACTGGTAATTTCCACATTTTAATATGAAATTGTGTCCGTTTTCAGCACCCATTAGAAGATGGCAGAAGCAGATGATATTCAACCTCTCGTATGTGACAACGGGACAGGAATGGTCAAGGTAACAATCCTGACATCTAGTATGTTGTAAAAATTATGATATCCCTTTTAGATCCCTTTTAGATTCATTGTAATCCTGTTTGAATATGACAAATATTTTCATGATCGTGTTACTTGAGGTGCCACTAAAATTGGAACCTAGATGCTGATATCATATCGCTCTTAAAATTGTCAGGCTGGGTTTGCTGGAGATGATGCTCCACGGGCTGTCTTCCCTAGCATTGTTGGTCGCCCTCGTCACACAGGTGTGATGGTTGGTATGGGCCAAAAAGATGCATATGTTGGTGATGAGGCTCAATCCAAGCGAGGTATTTTGACTTTGAAGTACCCTATTGAGCATGGAATTGTCAGCAACTGGGATGACATGGAGAAAATTTGGCACCACACCTTCTACAATGAGCTCCGTGTGGCCCCAGAAGAACACCCAGTTCTCCTCACAGAAGCTCCTCTCAACCCCAAGGCCAATCGTGAAAAAATGACTCAAATTATGTTTGAGACCTTCAACACTCCAGCTATGTATGTTGCCATCCAGGCTGTTCTTTCTCTTTATGCCAGTGGCCGTACAACTGGTAAGCAACTTAATGACTTTACTATTTGTGTCCTTTGTGCTGTAATGCATGAAAGCCACATCTGCTCAGAAAGGAAATTTTGGAATCAAAATCACTAGAATTAAATGAAATTTGTCGACAATAATCTCCTTTTACTTCCGCTATGCTAAATTAGCAGATGCATGTTAAGGGTTTTGTTGCTAAATGACAAACAAGATTTTAGCTTATTTCATCGAGAAATTCTGACAGCGAATTCATTAGTTTACAGGATTTAAACCACCGGCTAAATTTTTAATTTTTCTTCCTCCTCTCCGTTTGCATAGTAATGGTGTATTGCGTTGTTATCAGGAATTGTTCTGGACTCTGGGGATGGTGTCAGCCACACAGTCCCCATCTATGAAGGCTATGCCCTCCCACATGCAATCCTGCGTCTTGACCTGGCAGGGCGTGATCTCACAGATGCTCTCATGAAGATACTGACCGAACGAGGTTACTCTTTCACTACTACTGCTGAGCGGGAAATTGTGAGGGACATGAAAGAAAAACTAGCATACATTGCTCTTGACTATGAACAAGAGCTAGACACGTCCAAGACCGGCTCAACTGTGGAGAAGAGCTATGAGTTGCCTGATGGGCAGGTGATCACAATTGGTGCAGAGCGATTCCGCTGTCCAGAAGTCCTCTTCCAGCCATCAATGATTGGGATGGAAGCTGCTGGCATACATGAAACTACCTACAACTCTATTATGAAATGTGATGTCGATATTAGGAAGGACCTCTATGGAAACATCGTCCTCAGTGGTGGTTCCACTATGTTCCCAGGCATTGCTGACAGGATGAGCAAGGAGATTACAGCGTTAGCTCCGAGTAGCATGAAAATAAAGGTGGTAGCTCCACCTGAGAGGAAGTACAGTGTATGGATCGGTGGCTCCATTTTGGCATCCCTCAGCACATTCCAACAGGTATGCATCAACGTAATACCTAGGGTTGTCAAAATATGACATAATTCGTTAACACGACACGAATACGACATGAAATTAGAGGGTCTTAAGCTACCTGTTTAATAAATGAGTTGACATAACATGACACGATTAATAAATGAATTGAGTAAGGGGGAAGCCAATCAGAAGAAATACACGACACAACTCCTTTATTTACTAATTATACACGGTTTCTATACGGCACGAACTCGATATGACATAATTCATTAGACACAAATTAATAAACGAATCGGATATGAGGGAGTACCTATGCAAATGCATCTCTCTGTTATCAATCTGTCTGCATGTTAAAACAAAAACACTTGCTAATGGTGATGGGGAAAACAATTGCCCTGTTGCATCATTCATGAAATTATCAATCTAAGATCTACAAAATTAGCACTAACTAACGTTGATAGGAAAGTAAAAATCAGAGCTAAAATTTGAAAAATTATATTTTCTCTGTATGCAGATGTGGATAGCGAAGGCAGAATACGATGAATCCGGACCATCAATTGTTCACAGAAAATGTTTCTAATGCTTTACATTGCTTCAAGAGAGGTTATGCGAAGAGATTCATTCAATTTGCATCGTTGAAAGGCTTCTGATCATATGATTGCAGATTAATGTGTTTATTATTTGTATTTCTTTGTCATTTATTTGTTCTTGTTCCTTTCTCTGGGTCTTTCTTTCAACATTTGGAGCAAATTCAAATTTTCATTAACATTTACTTTGTAGAAGGGTTGTGTTTTTAATGCTATTAAAGTTTCAAGTATCAAGGCTAGTATTCTATTATGGCTTTATTATAACTTACTCATTTTTCGATTTGTCTTCCATTGTTCATGATTCATGATATAATCAAAGAATTTGCCGATCTAATATACCCACCACCTTATGAGAGCTGAAGCTTTATGGGATCTTATGAATTTAGAGGTGGCAAATGGGTAAGTTGGGTTGGTTATGGACTAAGTTAAATTGAGTTAGGTCAAAATAAATGTAATTTATTTTTACCCACGTATTAAATGGGTTAAATTTATAATAGGTTGGGTTAAATCCATTAACCCATAAAATAATTAAAATTTTTAATAGACATGCTAGTACAACAAAACATACACACTAATACACCTACACACACCCTGACCCAAAAAAAAAAAAAATACACCTATAAACACATATACTACCCCCACAATAAAACACAGGTCATGGGTTGGGTGTATTAGTGTGTGTGTGATTTTGGTATATTAGTGTATGTATGTCTATTTTTTGCGTGTATTTTTGGTAGATCAATTTAGCACATTGTTACTAATATTGTTACTATGGGGGTGAAGGTAGGGATGGGGGAGGGGTGAAAGTAGGGTAAGCTATACTGAAAATTTCGTGTATCACACGAGGGCAGAGCGGCCGCTAGTGCTAATACATATATTAGTTCAAGACTTTGCATTTGCAATAGCATATGAAGGGTAAAACAATAATCTGATTGTGATTAGTGAATGTAAAGGAACACTTGCTGAAACATGCTCATCACATCACATGAAGCAAAATTTGAGTTTCTTAGAAACCTTATAACCAGAAGATGCTTTGGAATAACAAAAGGAAGCAAGTTTCGCTTCATCGTAGAAGAAATCCAAAAATAAAGAGAAACATATAAAAAAAAAATCAATCATCAATGTGATGCAAAACATTGCAGAAAATTAACATGTGCTGAACCTGGCCTTCTCGAACCAGACTGACCAGTTGAAGTAAGTGGTTATGCTTCAGTTAATGGACTTTGCAGTCGCATCAATCCCTTGTAGAACGTTGAAATTTGAAGGTCCAACAGTGTCAATGAACCCTCGTACAGACAATTCCGGGACAGAAATCTTCTCCTCCAGCATTTCATGGTCTAGAAAGACGACAACAACTGTAATATCATCGTGAAAGAACCGCCTGTCCCCCTTTCCAAGCTTCTTCATAACATTATATCTCATCCCCCTTTTCTTACTTGCCTCATTCAGAGCTGATTTAAGAAGTCTTCTTGCAATGCCCTGATATTTAGAGGAGAACAAAGGGGGCAAAAAGGAAAAAGGAAAAAGGAAAAGTAAGTGCGTTGAAGATAAAGGCTAAAAACGCAAAAGGAGTGGAATGAGAGAACATAACTCACTGCTCTGGGGTTATTGAAGACAATCTCAACTGCCTCTTGGTTTGTCATATGTTCCCAAAGCCCATCAGATGCAAATATAAGAAATTTGTCACTAGGTTGTAAGACCCTCGTACATATAGATGGGTCAGCTCTTAGAACTGGGCGACGAATAGGTTCAGGAAGGTGGAATCGTGGGAACGATGGATCAAGAGAGAACTCTGGCCTCTTCAAGTATGCATCCCCTATAGATCTAGATACCTAATACCAGTGAATAAACAAAAAAATCATGACAATATAATTTAAAAGTAACATATAAGAATCCATACAATAATAGGACAGCATAGCCAGAACAAATTAGAAAAATCTCTTACATGTTGCTTTCCTAATTCTTCTAGTAATTGTACTTTATTCTGAGTTTAGTTTGATCTTCTCAACAGAATAAAGGGACATAACTATGCAAGAATGTTCATCCATTGAATTTTAACGAGTGCCATCGAATATTCAGCTCAAGCATAAACTTTGTTTCCAATATAATGTTTACGCTTTACAGGTACATATGTTACACCCTAGCTTTTTTTAAATTAAACAAGAAGAATTTTAAGGTGTGCCCTAGCTCATTCAAGCAAAGTGCTAGAGTGATAACTATCATCTGTTTGTGAGTCAAGACAAACTGAGGATAATGTGTCTACTACATTTGGGTAGGTAGTAGTGGGATGTATGAGCCAGTTGTTTGTGAGTGTGTGTGAGAGAGTACGAGTGTGCATTTCTCCCGCTGTAGTTTGTACGCAAAGCACAGCAATTGGCATTGAGATCAAAAACACAAAAAATTCAAAGATCTTATGTTCACTTTCATTTCAAAAGTGGATCTTTACCAAGGAGACAAGAGCACAGCAAAAGAAAAGGTAAATAAACTATCACAGACAGTAGAAGAAAAAGTTCAGAGCAATTTGAGAGTTAGCTAACAACAGACCAATGTAGGGCACGGGCACACCTGAATGATGCCTTTGATACGCCATGCGCCATTCTTCATAACTACAATATGCGAATCATCTGGATGCAAGGACTTAAGTTCTTGTCTAACCTCCTCCAGACTGGCATTATGATCACTAGTCAATTGCTCAGCAACAATTTTATTAGATCTACCTAAAGAACCTACTAAAGCTCTAGAATCACCCAAATTAGCAACATATAATGTTCCTTTCCAGATTACTCCAACCAAACAACAGGAACCAGTAGCTGCAATTAATGGTTGTATTCCACATGTCCTCCGCACAAGAGAAAGAAAGCCATCTTCAGTTGCAGAAAAAGCACCCCTAAGGATGTCTTCAGATATTGTTCCATTTTCTCGAGCAAGTCCTGCAAAACACAAATAAAATTCTAAGTGCACCATTAAGAACCACTGAAAAACACCATCCAGATGCTAATAGTTCACAGAGAATGGAACACATATGAGCAGAATGAAACTCGTTATGGTTGATAGAGTATAAAATAGCTACTTCAGCATGAATTAATAGATAAAATAAGCATCATTTGGTCTGCAGCATCTTATCTATAGTGATCAAATGAAATTAAGGGCATCAATAAGCAATTCCACGATACCAATGTTAATATTATGTAGAGACCTCTTGATTTAGTTCATCTCCAATGACAAAATCTTTGATTCTGGTACTTCTTATTTCCTAGACATCACTCGTGTTTCGTTTTTTCAAATGACAAATGCCTAATACTCTTCCATTAGGCCCCTTAAATTGCTTGTTTATGGATCACTACCAATCAAAGCATAGAAAGCTGCTGATGAAAGGAAAACAGAAATATTTAACCACATGCTCCAGATCTCTATATCCTAACTCTGCACGCTCTCTCCAACTTACAATTAGAAGAAAATCAACAGACAAATGCACGCAAAAAACCTAAAATTTCAAGAGGAGAACACGATATCCGGTAATCACCTAGTAAGAGACAATGAATGAACAAATGACAGATTGATCAAAGAAACAAATTAAGGACCTAATTAAGTACATTTTACCCATAACCTAGTCCCTCTCACCCTACTCCAATTAAGTGATACCAAAAAAAGAAACAAACAAGGAGTACATAAACAACAACAAAGATCACACATTCAGAGAGACACGCAATACATAAAAAAACCCACAAACAAATTCACCAAGAACACCATACATTCTACCTTTTTTATGGTCAAGAATTTAAACAAGAATTTATTCAAGCAAAAATGGCTCACGGATTAGATGAAGAAAGAGGTTGTCACAGATGAATCTTGAGGCTTCAGGCCCACCATGGCCATCATAAACCCCAACAAATGTGCCACCATGGCCGGTCTCGACTTGACTCTGATCCTCAAGGACCTCATTGGCCTGGACCACGGCAAATGAGAATTCGCCACAGGAATGCTTCTCAAGGTCTCTGCACCAGACAAGCCCATCATCTGCAGTATCATCATCCTTGCTCATACGGGCATATCGACCCAAAGGTCGCAAATACGACGACGATGTCCTCCCCAACCAAGAAAACATCCCTCATTTCCCTCTTGAAACAAACAAAATCTTTGAATTCAAGATTCACTGTAACAGAGAACCCCGAAAGAGAGTGATCAATGCTCTAAGAGAGAGAGAGAAAGGGAGATATGAAGAAAAAGAACCCTAGAATCCGGAAACTGAAACAGAGGAACGCAAAGACCCAGAAAATATGGAAAGAGAAACAACAACAAAACCCAAGCAGAACACTTTTTTCTTCTTTTGAATCAGGGAGACAGAGAGGGAGAGAGCGAAAGCGAATTAGCGGTTAATATCAAGAAGACAAATTGAAATCCTGCACAAAATTGATCAATGTGGAAAAAAAGAGCGCGAGAGATTGGTTTCAGAAACAAAAAAAACCCAAGAATTGATCAATGCAGGCGGAGATAACTGATCGATCCAAATGCAGAGAGAGAGAGATGCCTCTGGTACAAGAATAACAGAGATATTTATAGAGAGAAGAGACTTGAAGAGAGAGAAATCAAGAGGAGAGATGGTGAACAATTGATCTGTCTATTCGAAATTACATACATACATATGCATATACTAGCCTCGAAAGCCAATGCAACGTATCCAAAAAAAATTATACTATTCTATCAAATAACAAATTTTATTTAATTACATAACTTAAAATTAATTTTTATCCATTATTTTTTTAATAAAAATTAATTTTTTTTCTTCTAAAAATACATCACCTTAAACAAAATAACAACATATGTACATTATCCTATATGAACAATGTTTAAAATACAAATTATATTGAACCATAAAATAATAAAAAATTAAATAATTTAACTCGTAATAGAACTAGGTGATGCCATAAAAACGAACGAAAAAAATATGAAGATAAAATTCAAACTCTTAATTACTTTATTATATAAATATATGGGTCAAGAACAAAAACGCATACACCAATGTGGAGTTGACTAGAAGAGTTTGGTGGATTATTCGATTAAACATACCCTTTAGCGTGCAGAGTATACAAGAAGACTTTAATTTATAAATCTATTATTAAGATATTTATATATGAGAACATTAAGTAAAACCTTACTTTATAAATCATTCTTTATATTTTATTACTAATAAATTAATATTCCTAATGTTTACACAATTTTATAAAGATGAACACATTTTGGTTTCTTCCAATAAAATAACTAAAAAATTTTATAATGTTAATTAGTGGAGGGTCAACTGCGTGTTGTAACCGTGTATTTGTGCAAAACCCTTGCTAATTTTTTAATTTGGATTTATAGCATTAAGCCTTAAAAAAGATAATATATATATTTTTTTGCTGGGAAAGAAAGATAAATTAATTGTATTTGAAAAGTGGTGGCAAGAGAAACAATAAATTAGGGCGAATTGCACTTTACATCGTGAATGATTTAAAATTTTTTATTTTGGATACTTAAAGATTAAATTTTTTATATTTATACCCTTAATATATTAAAATTGTTATAATATGGACTTCGTTTCAATTTTTGTTATTCACTTCGTCAATGTCAATGACATAGTTTTGATGGAACAAGAAAGGGAAACTAATGGAAGAGACATATTTCAACATTTTTAATATATTAAGGATATAATATAATAAATTTAATTTTTAAGGATAAAAAGTAAAAATTTGAAATCTTTCCAAATGTGAAATATTCTCTCCATAAATTAAGACCAATGAAAGTGAAATGGGAAAATACTTTTTTTTTGGTTTAACAATTAAAGATGTTGGAGTTAGTTTATGAGTACTTTGACTATTCCTCAATATCAGTTAAAAACAGACCATTCACACTAGAAATTAGAATTATGAGAGATAATATCTCATGACTTGACTCTAAAAAATTGTTAAAATTTAAATTCAAAATTTTTAAATTTACAATTCGTCTTTATTATCAGATTTTATACACGTGTAGGGAGGTGTGAGAGAAACATATCCTTTAAGTAAAGTCCAAGAGAAACGTTTGGTGTTGAAGGAGTTCACAAACAAGGGAATAAAGGGATTTGTGATCAAGTTCTATGGAAGACAAGAAATCCCTAAAATTGGCGCCCATTGTTTATTGTGTAGGATATTCAGATTTATTTCGATACATTTTTTATCTTTCTCAATTATTTTAATATCAAATTATTGAAAATAAATTCTCGTAAAACCCATTGTATTAAAGCGGGTTTTACTATTAATACAGTAAAAGAAACTATTTTAATAAAAAGGAAAAAGAATAGAAAAAACCTTGAGAGTTTTTATTTTCTATAAACATGTTATTAAGGGTGATAATTGAACCGATCTATTCGAATTCAGTTTGTTTTGGACTTGTTTAGATTCCGTCGCTAGTCAAAATTGAACAATTTTTCAAATTTGTTTAAAAAAATAAACTCAATAGACTTAGTTGAAACTCGTTCGATTATCGGCCTAAACATATAGACCAAGTCAGTGCAAATCCTCACTCAAGGCCCTACAAATTTTGCCTTTTGTCTAATAAGAGACACACAAGGTGGTTGTGGTTGCATGAAATCTTCATCTATACTCGACAACATTTGATGTGCTCAAGCATCTACCTGTAACTAGAAACTATCAAAGTCAATCATGAAAGCTACACCTCAACATTATGCCCACGTGATCAAATACATCATAGGTTTATCATAAAAACTAGTTGTAAAACCATGCCGTAGTTGAGTTGTTTAATTGAATCAATTACTAAAATTCGAAACTTTTCAAACAAAAACATCAAAATACAATATTTTTAAACTTATTCATTGATCTATAGTAATTTGTAAAAATAGAATTGTTGATTCCGCTTTCATGGTGAAAGCGAAATTGTTGATTCCGTTTTCAACAAGTGATACAATAAAAAGGGAGAAATGCATTTTTGTAAGTATTAAAAGCGATTTTGTTGATTCCGCTTTTATCAACAATTCCGCTTTCAAAAAACTATTGTAAATTAGTAAATAATTTTAAAAATGCCGTACTTTGGTTTTTTTGTTTAAAAAGTGCCGTATTTTAGTAATTGATTCTTAATGGTGGCAATCCAAGCATTTGAATCTTTTGAAGTTGGATCAAGCTTTAACATAAGTTGAACTCAAATACAATAGCACGATGAGAATTATAAGATTATAGAGTTATTATTAATTGTGCGAACTCCTAATCCAAATCCCAACGCAAATGATGTTGTTGAATACTAACTATAGAGAAGACTATAGTAAAAAAAAAAAAGGGACATATCGCAAAAATTTACAAGTTTTATAGGTTGAAATATAATTTTTTTGGGTTTATTTACAACAAAAAAATGTATGATTTGTGGGATCATATTACAACTTTTATGATCAAAGCTACGACTTTTGAGGGATCATTTACACATTTTGAGGGTTACTTGCAATTGATCTTAAAAATTATAAATAACCATTATATTTTGTACAAAAAACCAATAAAACTTGTAAATGACAATACGATACTGATTTTTTTCCACGACCGTAGACTTCTCTACTAACTACACGATTCTCATAATACAATCAAAGATTTAAGTCATTATATTAGTTGCGACTTTCAGTGTTAGATGAAACTTAACTTTAATTCAATTATTATATTAAATTAAGTCCCGAAATTAAATCGAAGAGTAATGCTATTGATACTTAATTTATTGATCTAATTTATTATGACTTTTAGATTGATTATGGGTCCCATTAAATATTGAAATTATGTCTGATTTTTAAATTTAAATAAAATTACTTTATATATCTAAATAACAATTTTCTTTTTGGGTACATATTGGTTGCACTTTTAGGGTTGTGAGGTGGCAGCAACTAAGTGGGCCATTACTATGGTTTTGGATAAATGAAAAAATTAATGTGGTTGAAAGTAATTGTGTACAGCACAAGTGACCCGTGAACTGATTCATAATGCAAACCTTTTCACTAGTCTACTGTTCTGTTCACCTGCACCATCTAAATCCATAAGTATGGCCGTGGTACAGTTGAATTAATTAAAGAAGCTGTATAGGTATAGCTGTTGCACTTTGCACCATTCAGTAATCAGCGTTTATTTGACGGTACTAATTAATACGTGGGCACAGTCGATTGGAGGGCGCCACAGCATGCTTCGCGAACTCCTGCGTAACACGAGCACGTGATAAGACTTTAGTTTCGATCCCAATATAAGTGAGATATGATTTTTTATACATAGTTGTGTGGTGTTGAAGAACTAACGGATATGTAGAGCGACCTATATGCATATTTAAAACATGTTTTTTTTAATGTATTATATTATTGAGATCAAATTTATTAAATTAATTTATTGATTTAATTCACTATGACATTTGAATTAACTGTAAGACTATCAAACATTAGAACTTAGGTCAAGACCAAAAAATGTCTTATGGGCCCATCACGTTGACACTTTTTTTGAGCTAATTGATTGTAAATTCATTTAAGTAGGAAAATGTTGATTACAATTTGACAAGAATAAAACCTTAAACTCTACCGGGGACAGTTAACCTAGGTCATAGCAAGAGAATCGGATAACGCCACTGCTGCCACCCAGTGAACAACTATATTAAGGGCTCTTGACTTGCATGAAAGCATAAGATCTAGGTGTCTAGCAAAAGCTCTAATGTTCTCCACAAGGAAGTAATCAAGTTCAGTTCAACTGAAGAAATTCCTCCTTGAGAGATAAACGCCGATATCCCTAATCAAAATACCCAAAAAAAGATAATGAAATGCCATCTCCAATAAAGTAAACTTTAGGGGTCAGGAATAGATTTTATAACAACTAACAACACATTATTATTATTATTATTTCGATGTAGATAACAAACAAACAAACACATAAATGAATTGTTTGAGTCTGTGAGATGCTAATGCCAAGGGGCCTAGCCTTTTCCCCTTTGAGTGATAAACTTGGCCTAAGCAATGTCATTTATCAAGCGTTTGTGCCGATTGTAATGCTTTTCCAGTAAGACCCTTGAAGCTCCTTCCATGGTTTTACGCCATGTCTGCACAAGAATGGAGACAAGAAGATATATGAAGGTCATGTCACTTGGTATTTCAAGGAAATATTAGAGCTTATAATCATTTTTAGGGCCATGTTTTTGGAGCGTTTTAAAGAGCATAGCATTGTCGACAATAATAAAGAATATATATATATATATATATATATATATATATATATAAATTATTATTGTTGTTGTTGTTGTTATATAGAAAATTATGATTAGATCATGTCACATACAAATCAAATTATAATTCAAGGATGTGATTGTGATGGTAATGGTGGTGCCCTGCTAGTGTTTGGGTTCTTTGAAAGATGAGATATTTGATTTATAGCGGTTAGTATGGCCAATAATGCTAGCCGCCCAAAATAAAAACTCAACATTTGCTGTCTAAATGACATCGCACTTGCCATGTTACTTAAGTGGGTTCCATCCGATTAAAACCATTTTAACCCTTTGCCCTTTCTTCCATTCAAGCTTCATATCTTTCTTTACTCGTTCAAGAAAATGCTAAAGCTTCAAACCATTCGTGGTGCCCAATGGTCCGAAGATTTGTCGTTTTCTCGAAAGGTTTCATAATTTTAGGTACATTATTAATTCACAAAAAAATTAAATTTATTAGATTTTAGGCCATATAAAAAAGCCCAAAAAAATTAAATTTAATCAAAATTTTTATTGCAATAATTTAGGTTTATAATCGAATTCATAACATTAAAAACATAAAAATTAAGAAAATAAAAAAATATTCAAAAGTCAACTCATATTTACCACTATCAACTTTTTTCCTCTCTCTCTCTCTTCGATAAAAAAAATAATCTTAAAATTAAAATATCTTTTTCAACAATATTAAAATATCATTCTTTTGTTTCTCATAGAAAATTAAAAATAAATAAATTTTTTTAAAAAATAATACTAAAAATTAAAAAAAATCCATTTCGCTTTAAACTTCATCAAATTGACATGAGCCGCTCATAAAAGTTGGGTTTTTACTTGGACACCCTAGCATTATTGTAATATGGCAGTGCTTCATCATGATGCTTATTATAATGGGGAAAAAGAAAATATCTTCTAAATGATGGGCTCGGATTTATAAGGTTAAGTTATCGTTATACTCTTAAAATCTGCCCCTAGTTTCTATTTAATCCATGAACAAGCAATTGAAAGAATTAAGTGGCCTAATTTTAAGACGTATTTCAAGTAAGTCTGACTATCTAAATTCATTTACAATTGTAACCAAAAAGACATTATGTGGTTGTCACGTGCCATAATCATAGGACACGTCATGCTCACATGACACTTTTCATTTTGTAACATAGCTATACAATTAACAGATGATTGGAAATTCTGGGACTTGATAATTTAAATTAATAGTTCACCGAGCAAATAAAAATTATAACTTTTGAGGATATAAATAAAAATTAATGCGTACGATTTTACCTTCTCAATCGTTCGCATAATGGACTTGTTCTGTAGATCTCTTGCTCTGAGCTTGAAGCTGCCAATCCCAAGGCGCCGAATTATTGCCACCGATCTCCTCCGAGTTGCCGGAGGGAGAAGTGACTTCCTCTCCACCAAGGTGGTACTACCATTTGATGGACTCTCGCAATGATCACCTTCATTTGTTGTTCCGGTCCTTTTCCGACGTTTCGACAATCGTAACTCTTTCTTAGCCAAACCCTTTCCATCAGACTCAGAACCCACTTCGGCAAATTTTCTCAGCAGTTCATCTGAAGATGCTTTACTCACATGCTGAACTTTAGCAGCATTTTCCATTGTACAAAACAGAGAGAGAGAGAGAGAACTTGCACTAAGAATATGTAAGAGGGGGAGTTCGAAGGGTGATGGACCGTTAGGGGCGGTGGCGAATGATTTGAATAATGTAAGAATGGAAAATATAGCCGTTGGGAAGAGCAATGAAGTACAATAACTCTGTTTAAAGGGCAAATTTCACTTTGCACCCTGAAAAATTTTAATTTTTTTATTTTATACCCTCAAAAATTAAATTTTTTGATAATTAACCTTAATGTATTAAAAGTCTTGAAATAAAATCATTTTGTTAAGTTTCGTTACTTATTATGTCAACGTCAATGAGATAATTTTTGATAAAAAAACAATGAAAGTTGACAAAAGTATTATTTTGCAATACCTTTAAAACATTGAAGATATAATATAAAAAATTTAATTGTATAAATTGAAAATTTTTGAATCTTTTGGGTCGCAAAATGATATTCTCTCCTGTTTAAAATACTAAAAATGGCTCTATTTTGGCAGTTTGCGGTGACAGCTGAGAAGAGAACGCGCCACCCATATTGCTGCTGACAATTGATACCCCAACCACATAACCTCAAGGGTATGTTATAAAACTTCGACATGAGTTCAATTCAAGATTGTAATTAAGATTTAATTCAGCTCAACCTAAAAATTCTCGGCTTACACCATGAAAGCTAAAATTCAAGGTTGCTTCTGGGTTACTAAATTCAGACGGAAACTCGAGTACAAATTCACTAATTTAGCTTGAATCTCGAATATCCAAGTATTAACCAACTTGAAATCTCTATCAAACACTAAATATTTCAAGTTGGATTGCGATTTACAAGCCCAAGTTAGTTAGCTGTTTGCCCATGAAAATTGAAGCCATTCGTATAAATAGCCCTGGAATTGAAAGGGCATTGGCAGCCATCCACCGGAAGTTGCATCTCTCCGGCTTCCTCCGAGTGAATCCCCACAAAGATGGCTGCCAATGTAAACAAGTGCATCAAAGCCTGCTTCTCGATTCAAAGCTTTTTAACATGAACATCTAAGACCACAATATGAAAAAGACACTTCCATAATCTGTGTTCTAAGCTTCTACAATGAACTGGCCTTTTCAGATGGTAAACTACCTGTCAAATATACATACCTTTTATTCACCCTAGATGAAATTCAACCAAATTCTATTTTCAAATTTACCCATGAAGTAAAATCATGTTGAATCAAGATGCAAAAACTTGATAAAATATTGATCCAAGAGTGGGTGACCAGTATTAAGAGCTTGATATACATTTCTCAGCCCGTTTGCGAACAGCAGCTTAAGCTTTTCTGGTAGTTGGAGATTAATATCATTTCATGGCATGAAGTTTAGATGCATTTATTCATTCACCCTAGACGAAGCAAAATGGCAAAAAAGACATGTACCAAATCCCAAATAACTGGAAGACGATTTTATAGAAATTAATATCTTTCACTCTTTCCTTCTTCATCTCATCTATTTTGATTTCGAAATAATGAATATCACATCACAATCAACTTTATTACCTACTACCTACATGAACAAACCATGTAATCTCAGATTATTGAAAAGTTCTTTGATTAAGGCAAAAATCTAATCAGTGGGGACATAAACAATTCCACCTCTCCAATATTATATTTTTAAAGTTTAATTCTTTGTAAAGCAAACAAAATTGGGGAATTAACACAACAGCCCCATACCTTGTAGTTATGTGCCAAATTGAGTTCCAAAACTGAGCGCATGGCATTCAAGATTTCTTGTATTCAACTGTATGACAGCCAGAAAAACAGAACTTAAAAATGTATGAAAAATGTCATTGACACAACTGCTGATATCAAGCACTATTTCTTCAAGGGTGTGTGGCCGAAATAAACATATAAAGTGAAAGGGGGAGCTTTTAGATTTGGACTCGAACCCAGTCATGGGTGTGTGGCTGAAATAAACATATACCTATCCACGGGGCCTTGAACTCAGGCATGTTGCCAGCAGTTTTTGTGTCTTTGAATCCAGGCATGGGGACCACCACCTTTGTTCGAGTGTGTTATTTCCGTAAGTTGGATTTCAATTTGATCATCAAGGAACAGAGAATTGAACAGATGCCAAAGGTGAGAGAGACAGCTTAGCCATGGGGGTTTTGGAATAGGAGGGCAGGGTCACACGGGTTTTGACCCTCTCTCTCTCTCTCACACACAGGTATATTTATACATAGAGGAATGTGAGGATGATGGTGGAGAGTGAGTGGTCAACGATGTGAGTGGGCAAAAGGATGGTCTAATTTATTCTTATTCAAGGATGAATTAAGTAGATTTTTATTTTTTGAAATTGAAGGGGGAATCACATCAGTATCACCTACTAATCTTTGAAACTAAACATCGCTTTGTTTTGAGCTGTACACTTGCAAAGTCATACGCACATGCATGTTCAAATGTCCACATGATCGGTTTTTTTCAGTCCTGAGTACTTCTAACTTGTGAACAGGCTGAGAAAGTACAAAAGCTTACCACCACAGCAACTCCTGTCTCACCAAATCTTGGAATGCAAATGAGCCTTACTAGTTGGCCCTCTGATCCTGCACTGAAGGATTACCGATTACAATTTGTTGCAATAGAATATTTAGGGAAAATCATATTCCAGCAGATAAGTCAGCAGTCATGAAAAGTACCTTTTATTAAGCGAGTCTCATATTTGTCCTGATTACCAACAAAATAAACATGAGGACAGATCTCAATGAAGAAAGGATCCTTATCAGTGAAAGGATAACATCCTGTACAAAAGAAGGTAGAAAAGTTAGTTTAACCAAAGAACAAAACATTCAAAAACAATATGAAGGTCAAATTGAATCAATCATTTTTCTAATTCCTCTGAACTAAGGATACATTCCTCCTTCAGTAACAAGAAATGATCAGCTGTTAGGCCACACAAAAATGCTACAAGCCACAGAAACAGATAAACATAGAGCAGGATGCATAAGTTATGACTTTTACCGAGGGTATTTGGTGCTGTTGGTGCTAGATGCCTCCATCTCAATGTCCTTTCCAAAAATTCAAGCTTATCATTTGCTTCTGAATACTTCTCAAGGTCATCAATGTTCTGACCTGATGTCCCAAGAAATCTGAAGACCAAAATCACCATGTCAATAAACCCCCAATTCCAGCGAGTCCATATAGTTACATTACGTATCTTACCTGACATCATCAAGCTCAAAGGAGTGAGGATTAGTGCAAGACCTAAAAATGTTATAAGCTGCTGACCCAGGGAATAGGCATCTATGCAAAGGCTGAAAGATAAACGAAGACTAGAATGATCAAATGCTTTAGAAGAAATATACATTCAAGTTTGTGAAAGAACCAAATCAATAAAAACAGAATGTGAAAGAAACCTGCTGTGGCAAGGAGAAATTTGCCGGGTCCTTGGGTCCTGGCATGATATCCACGGGTACACTTGCAGCAATCTGCACAAAATTACAAATATAAAAATCTTGATTCTCACACTAATATCAAGCGCGTAACAGAATATCTGAAGTACCTGAGCTAACAAGATATCCAGCTCTTTAATTGGTTCAGACAGTCTAGACTGATCCTTTGAAGCCAAATTCTGCCCATTGAAGGAAAGCGATGATTTTCATGTGCTAAGATTTCATACTTTTAACAATTTGAAACACATTGAATAAGAATCAAACAATTTCAATTAACCAAAAGAATATTAATCCATTTCGACCTTGAATAGAACATGACAAAACATTGAAATTGGAAGCAGTCAGCATGGGTCTTGCAAGGAATAGAGGAGGGAGGGAAAGCATCATAGAATGATAGTATGGTGGTAGCACTCTTTATAGCGGCAGTGACAAAATGTTGAAGGTAGGTTGGTGTCGTGGGGGTCCTAGTGATAGGAGCCTGACACCACTGATGGTTACAAATTTATGATTATATGGTACTGTTTATGGTGGTGAAAAGGAAATCACTGCAGATATCACGCTGATGACATACAAATTGGCAATGATAAGGGAGGTAGTGATTACTGAAAGGTAATACAGGAGGAAGGGCCTATAACAGCAAGGTTGATCCATTTGACCTGGGTTCGAGTCACAAGAATAACATCACCACACACAGGGATAAATCTATTTACATCTAACACTTTCGACTCATGGAAATAACATCTCAACACACGGGGTAAAGATCCGTGCATCTAACCATGTCCAGATCTCACAAGGATTTGCCCCTTGTGTACTGGGCTGCCCTTACGAGATGGGTGTGAATGTGCATGCGATGGTAGCTATCACATCAATAACAGAGGAAGTGACAACATCAGTTATAAAGGGGACTGGAAATGCTGGCAAACTGAACGTGTGGTCTGCAATTTTAATCCGTTTGCAGAAATGGAAAAAAATTCTTCGCTACTTAATTGCAAAAGGACTTAAAAAACAGCTATTTTTCGTAGTCAAAACTCAGCGACACAAATAACAGAACTGGGTGGAACATTAGTGAAATGTCCAGAGAGGAGACAGGAAATGTGTTACCTGACCATTAAGAAGTCCACGAGGAACTTCAACAGAATTCCCAGCAATTACGACTTGAACTATTTGAGCTGCAACACTTTGTTCCTATTCAATTATGCATAGAGGTAAGACTAGATAAAGCATCACATATAAATAGTTGAAAGGAAAGGCAGAAGTAAACTATACATACCTTCTCATCTCCCAGATGTCCTGTTATGTGATCTACAAGAAGCTGAAATTGGAGAGGGTCAGAAGAGCTGCTCCCAACACTCAACCCTGATACAAAAACAACATATTTGTCTTCTCCTGTGTGCAGTCAACATCACCAGTTTCAGACCAAGCTCACAAGAAGATATGAGGACAATTTTAACAACTTCCAGAGGACAATCATATAAGTGCCTTTACTCTATAAACAGTGGCCTTCTACGGGCTGCAAGTTTTGCAAGCATAAAGTGGTGAAAAATACAGGGAAAAATGCAATATGATAAACGAAACTCATAAAAATAATTTATCCAAGAGTAAAATAATACACAAAAATGCCAGTTATGTAAGAAACAACATAAAAAGTGTAATGGCAGAAGCCGAATATCATACTAAATTTAGATAGGACTGATTACACCATAAAACTTACAAATTTAGTCACAATTGAGGCTTCAAACTTCAATGTCATGTTTCACATGAAGATCAATTGGCATTGCTCATCATTACATGCTGGCCTCAAGTCAAATCACTCATATGTGGATTTGAGTCTAGACTTTTTTCCATCAACGGGAACCACTCGACTGTCAATGGCTATCATTTATTAATTGGCACCGTTTGACCACACTTTTTTAGGTACTTCTTTGTCTTCTTGCTTTTTCAAAATACCACTTTACGTAGGTTGATTTTTTCTTCCTTTTTTCCTTTTTCCTTGTGTGAGTTTGCTCTTTTCTTCTAAGCATAACATATTTGCAAATACAATTTGCATTGTTTGTATCCTAAGATTAATATAGATTACTGTTACAGAATAATAATCAAATATACAGTTTGTGTTTTTGACAAAATTTCTTTTTTGCTAGATCTAAGAGAAAGAAGGTGTACCAGTACATCAGCCAATTGATATACTCTCAACCACGAAGGAATTTACACCTCTGATCTGGAGAGTTGTACTGAGAAAGTCAAGAATTATCAAAATGTGAAATTAATGGAATGGTACTGGATTGAAGTACAAAGGAATAAAGGATCCAGAAGCCATTAAGATGGTGAAGAATAACTGTCAGAAAACTTCAGAAGTGAGAAGCGGAGTGCCAAAAACTAAGTACTCCAGAGAAGCATTAATAGCAACTAAAATCAATGAGTGCCACTTCAGTTTTCTGGTAGAAGAGATCTCATCAAACGATGAAGAGGTTGTGGAGGAGGCAAAGCCAAATGTCACGCCCCATGGGAGCAGAGGAGACATATCAAAATCCTCTAGTCACCACCATAAGATTACCACAGAAGCTTCTGAAAAAGATAAGGAAGCCCACATGGACTGTGCTACTACCAGACTCTTTGGAAACACAATAAACATGATCAAGCTGAAAGTCCAGAAAATTGGGGGGACTTCGTCATGGCTCATGGCAGACCTCGAATTGAGCTTCTAGAAAATGAAATCTGATACGAGAGAGGACCATCATAAGGTCTATACTGGAGGTCCTGGGGTAATAAGAAAAACTACTTACCTGTAAGGAGGTGGGAGAGTGATGTCAAGCCCTCAGAGGCGACAGAAACTTACTTGGCTCTCCGGATTCGACTCAGTGAACTCCCATTTGACTGTACCATGAAGAGGGGGAACTATTCAATATTCCCAAAGCACTGAGGAAGTCTCTGAAAATCAACATTAGCAAGGTAGTGATTGTAACTTTGATTAGTAATCAAACTTGAAATATCCAATCTTCTTGTTGATCTCAGTTTTATTTCCTAAACAGTTGTCTTGTTAATCTTCTTGATCTCAGTTTTATTTACCAAACGGTTGTCTTGTTAATATAGATTACTTTTGGCCAAAGTTGTTAGTATCGTACGATACGCGATACGTATCGTACGATACGTTACGATACAGCCCTAAAACGATACGGATCGTAGTTATGTATCGTTTTTTTGCGTTGTATCGTCCGATACACGATACGTTTTTACGATACGATACGTATCGGTACGATACGCACGATACGTGCAATTTTTTTTTTTTTTTTTTTTAAAAAACGATGTCGTTTTGTACTCTGATTTTTTTTAAAAAAAAACGACAAGTGAAGACTTGTTGGCATCCGATCACAATGATGATGATGATGATGCATTTTCAATTGAAATTGAAGATTGAGTTCAAAATGGATGTTAGAAATTTGGATTAGAAGTCTCTTTGGTGTTTAAAGTTTGAATTAGTGAACTATGGTTGTGAACTTTGCATTATAATAGTAGTGGATTATGTTGATAACTTGAATAGTTGGTGGAGTATTAATGAAATGCTATATTTTTTATGAGTGTATGACTTTTTTTCAAAGGTATATATATTTTTTTATTATTTATTTAAAATTGCATCGTATCTTACGATACACGATACGATACAATATTTGTATCTTACGATACGCCTTCCGATACACGATTTGATAACTATGCTTTTGGCATGCATCCATAATTACTTTAGCCTTGTCTCACCATTTTGACTCAGATTTCCAACAAAAACAAGGTGTTTCCCTTTGTAGTCATTGTAAGTTCCATCAATAGATTTATTTGCCAGGAAGTCCAAATTTCAGACTTGCTCGGGCTAGAACACTCCCTCCATAGAATATAAAGAGAAGAAAGTGTAGCAATACACAGAAAATTGTGTCAGTGTACATAAAGGGAAAATTATCACAACGTAAAAGATGGAGGCTAACTACCATGTTACCTGAATTACGGGGCAGCTCTTCCTGATGAGGTAGGCCAGCTTCTAGGACATCTTCGACCATAAAATCACCACCAACAGTTTCCTTTGCATGCAACGCAACCACAATCCCTGTCAAACAAAGTATCAGAAAATATATATAGAGAGGGAGAGAGAGTGGAGGAGGAGGAGAAAGACACAGAGAAACTTATGGCTGTGAAATTATACGGTATAATTGGGACAGCAACAGAAGAAAGAAATAAAAGGAAATAATCAAAAAAGTTCCTCCACAAACGGGTTATCTGGCAGATGAAAAAAGAATCAACCTCAATGTGACATGCAATTGATTGCTAAGCTTCTATTCCAAGAAATGATAATCTGGTGATGCAACAGACCTGTTACATATACAGAAGATATAAGCATAGCGCCACGGAGTTTAACTCGTCCACTCTCATCTTCCAAAACCAATTGATCATCCGCGTGCACAAAATTATGAGGTTTTACAAGCGGAGTTGAAGATCTCTGTTATTGAGAGTTAAAATATAAAAGCTTCAGAAATTCAGAATGAGAATGGAAACTCACCAAAACAGCCAATAAAGGGAATAAATTCTCATTCATCAAAAACCTCAATACCTCCTTAGAGTATTCATCAAGAATGGAAGGTTTAAGCTTCATGTGCTTGTAGAGGGTTCCGACAATAATGCATTCCTTGCTTTCTTCCAGTCCAAGAACTGTGCAGACTGCAGCAAGACAAACCTGATCGATTATCTTTCATGGAGCTCAGAATCTTGTTAAATAACCATCTTCTTCAAAACTGATAAAACTCATCAATTTAGAAATCACTCGACTCTACACGAAACACATAATGACTGCCGATTATTTATTCCCTCTTGAGTAAAAATAAGGAACAAATTACAACACTCAAAAGTACCCACCTATTAGTATGGTGCATAGATTTCATGATCACATTTAACCAGAACTACTTGAACCCTGAAGTGTATTTAATACAGCCCCACACCTCTTTTTTTTCCCACACCTCTAGATAATAGTAAGAAAAGGGCTTAAAAAGGTTGGGTAGAATTTGAAGATAGACCAAAGCTACTGAATTGTTTCGTTAAAATCATGAATCAACAATGAAATCCTTATAATATATTAACACCAACATCTAAGCCCTCTTATACTTCCACAGAAACTTTTTGTAATGCAGACAATTCAAAGCCAATGGAAACTAAAGCATAAGAATGCTAACATATTAGCTGAACAGATCAAAAATAAAAACCATAAACTCGGATAAAACCCAAAACCCTGATAATTGAAAACACACTGAATCAAAAAACTCCCTTTTGAACAATCATTGGTTGACGAAGTAACAAACCACCCACAAAATCAAAAAACCCAGAACCCAAAGAAATATAAGTCACGAGACAATCAATTCAAACAAAAACTCTAAAACCCTGATACTTGAAAACACAATGGATAAAAAAGTTCCCTTTTAAGCAATCATCAATTGACAAAATAACCAACCACCAACAAAATTAAACAACCCAGAACCCACAAAAACATAACCCAATAGACATTCAACTCAAACCTACTCATATTCAGAGTTCCAAAATAAAGCAGATTACCAGGCACATGGGGTTTCCAATGAGGAAGGAGAGAGTATAGTAGAGTTCTCATCAAGTGAAGTCGAGCAAAGTATATCTGGCTGTACTGTTGACCCCTATACATCTCCTTCTGTATCTCAAAGCTCTCATCCTGTTAGTAGCACAAATGAAGAAGAACCATGGTATGAAAATTAGCAGAAAATTAAAGGGGCACAATAATATTACCATATGGGAAACAAATGAGTTTGGGCATTGTACACGAGAAAAGAGGAAGAAGAACATTTTACCGTGGATTGGTAGAATGATTGTTTTCTTTGGAGATTGTTCTCTGAGTCCACCTCCATGGCGGGAAACACTGAAACACAGAGGGAGAGCGAGAGAGATTAGTTATGAAGCTGTATACTGTTTGGCTGAGAAATAGATAATTTAAATGTATATAATGTCATGAACAAACACGGGGATGTAGCTCAAACGGTAGAGCGCTCGCTTTGCATGCGAGAGGCACGGGGTTCGATACCCCGCATCTCCATTCAAACCCCCATGGTGGCCCAAGTGGTCACTATTTTTTCATCCGAGTAGCTACGTAAAATGACTGTACATCCTCTAAGTACTTGGTGATTAAGGGTTAGAAATGGCAGGAAAAACTTGATCAGGGTCAAGATTTTTTCTCCTAAGTGGATTCATGTAAAGAGGGAGTACATTTAAGTGCAATCTTTTCGATGGCAAGTGCATAGAGCAAACGATCATGTCTTGTCGTCTCTTAACCTTTTTTTCTCCATTTCATATAATAAAAGTCATGAATATAATATAAATATGATAGATTTTAATAAGTTTATTCGACAGTTTCAAATAAATTCATTCAATAGTCATCAATATCTTTCTCAAAATCATTCACGTTATACAATACCTTCAAACACGAATTATTCCTTAATGGGTCAAGCCCAAAGGCCCAACTCATGTTATAAGCCCAATTCTAGTTTATAGTCCAACTCCAAGAGATTCAGCAAATCCAGTCCAATGTGACCAACTTGGTCAAGCTCATCAGCTCAACCTGTTCAAGCTCATCAGTGTGGTTAGCCCGATCAAGCTCAGCAGCTCAAGGAGCTAAGGGAGCAAGCAAGGTCATCCAAAGTCTTATCTTCGCTGCCCTAAAGATGGTCAACACCCCATCTCATCTTTTGACCAAATCTCATGGAGTGCACCTGTAACTGCCTAGCACGTTGAGAAAAGTTCGCAAGATCTAACAAACTAGCCAACTACTTACTAATATCTTGTTCAAATCTGTTAAGAAGGCGACTATAAATTATAAGTCCACCAACACTTGGGGGCAGATCATATTTTACCTAAGCTCTCTCCTCTCCCTCAAAGCTTATACTCTCTGCTCCCCACACCTTTGAGTTAATAAAAAACCCGGTAACCAGAGCTATTGAAGAGTGGACATAGGTCGAGCTGACCGAACCACTATAAATTACTTGTGTCTCTCCATCTCCTAATATTATTTTCTTGCACTTATTATTCACACTTGACGGGTGGTGTGCAAAATCATTTTGTGCATTATCAATTTAGCGTCGTCTGTGGAAACGACTAAATTCTCACTTTTAAACACTCCCTCTGTTGAACCTATAGCGATTACCACTAGATCCATGAATCAACCTGAGGATAATCCATAACAAGAGGAGGAGGTTGCTCTTCCACCTACCAACGCTGTCTCAAATGCTCCAGTTTCGAATCCTCAGCAAATGTTGGAGATCATGCAGCAGTTGGTGGCTCAAAACCAGCAGATCCTGCAACTCATGATCACCATACAAGGAGGAGCACAACTTAGAGAAGCACAGCTTGGAGGACCTCAAGGAGCTCCATGCCCTAAATATCAAGGAGCTGCACGCCCTGGACATCAAGGAGCTCCACAACTTGCTCTTCCCCCCTTTGGAGTCCCTTTGGGTGCCCCACACAGGGGAGCCCATCATTAGAGACCTCCACCTCCTCCTACAGCTCCTCTTACTTCTCATGACGAAGACCCTCATCTCTAAGAAGATAATGACGAAAATTAAAACATGGAGCATGAGAGTTATTTTCATGATCATTGCAAAGGAGCCCCTAATCATTGGGACAAGAAAATTAAGGAAGTGCAAAATTAACTAGGTGACGTCTTCAACGCCATGAAGGCGCAGGAACCCTAGACAATAGACTACCTCATAATGCAGATAGACACGCCTTTCAAACCTGACGTGGCGAACTACCCCCTCCCTCAAAAGTTCAAAATGTCATCCGTGGAGACCTTTGACGGGACGAATGATCCACTTGATCACCTTGAAACCTGCAAGGCCCTAATGCAACTGCACAACGTCCCCGATGAAATTATGTGTAGGGCATTCTCAACTCCTTTGAAGGGATCAACGCGACAATGGTTCGCCAAACTCACCACGGCCTCCATAAGCTCCTTCGCCGAACTGAGCAGATCATTTGTGGCACAGTTCATTGTGGACGCCGCCAACAAAAGCCTGTCATCCATCTGCTCAACATAAAACAGGATCGAGACGAGAGTCTGAAGAGTAACCTTACTCGTTTTAACGAGGAGGTCCTCCAAATTGAGGAGCCCAATGACAAAGTCACCATGACCGCCTTTCTGGGAGGCCTCTGCTCATCCAAATTCCTTTTTTCAGTAATGAAGCGACCACCAAAGAGCATGCCATAACTATTGACAAATGCTCAAAAATATATGAATGCTGAGGAAATCAACAGGTCTAGGCGAGGTGAATCATCTCGTAGATCACCAGATGCTTAACCTGCCTTGAATCATCTCGCAGATCACCAGAAGCTTGACTTGCCTCGAATCATCTTGTAGATCACCAGAAGCTTGACCTGCCTCTGCACTGTTCTCAAACAGGCAGCTTATCTCTATCTTAGCGGCTCTCTCGCGGGTCGTCCAAAAAAGCTTGATCTCTACATTGTTCTCAAACAGGTAGTTTATCTCCAGCTTAGCGGCTCTCTCACGGGTGGCCAAAAAAGCTTGGTCTCTGCACTATTTTCAAATAGGCAGCCTATCTCCAACCTATCGACTCTCTCGCGGGTCGCCAAAAAAAGTTGGCCTCTGCACTGTTCTCAAACAGGCAGCCTATACCTCAAACTTAAAGACTCTCTCATGGATCTCCAAAAGCTAGGTCTCAAAAGGTGTAGCTCTTTCATGAGCAGTTCTCCAACTCTGTCTTTGTTCTCACTCAAGCAGCCTACCTCTCTCTCTAGGTAATTATGTGAGATATTTTAATGTTTGAAATAACATTGTTTCTGTTATCACAAACAGGCTCTCCCAAGGCAGCCTGAGTCTCTCCTAAATCTCCCAAGACATTCCCCCAAAACGCCCGAGGCACCCCAGGCTCACCCAAGGCGCCCAAATGAGGTAACTCAGCACCTAGAGAGATGTTTGATCCTATGTGCTTGCTCAAACAAGGCAATCTGGTACCTGGAGAGGTGTCTAACTCTCTCTGCTTGCCCAAACAAGGCAGCCCAACACCTAGAGAGATGTCTGATCCTATGTGCTCGCTCAAACGAGGTAGCCTAGCACCTAGAGAGGTGTCTGACGCTCTCTGTTCGCCCAAACAAGGCAGCCCAACACCTGGAGAGGTGTTTGATCCTATGTGCTCGCCCAAACGAAGAGGCCTAACACTTGGAGAAGTGTTTGATGCTCTTTGCACGTCCAAACGAGGTAGCCTAGCACCTAGAGAGGTGTTTGACGCTTTATGCTCGCCCAAACGTAACAGTTTAGCACCTGGAGAGGTGTTTGACCACCTTTGCTTGCCCAAACGGGGCAGCCTAGCGCTGTCTGGCCCCCTAAAGTTGCACAAAACAACTCCAAAGGTGTCTAGATCAGCGCCTGAAGTGGCGCCCGGATCTGCCCCTGCACCCAGGCTATTGCCCAACTCCCAAGTTGCACGCCTGTTGGCCTGGCCAGCCCCCATTCTGACTTGCATGCAACTGTCCGCGGGCCCAGTGCGCCTGCTCGTTATTTTGATTGTAAATCTTGCTCCATAACTCCAAATAGGGGCTTATTATATATCAAATCGAAACTCCAAAAAAGACTTGGAAGCAGATGTTTTGGCCTCCCGAATTTTTTCAATTGTGGCGGTCAGCCAAAAATTTAAACTTAATCGAATGCCCTCCTTTCCAAGTTCCATTGGACACAGGGGATTGCGGGGCAAATGATGGGCTAAGCCCAAAGGCCCAACTCATGTTATAAGCCCAATTTAAGTTTATAGTCTGACTCCAAGAGATCCAGCAAATTCAGCCCAGTGTGGCCAACTCGATTAAGCTCATCAATGTGGTCAGCTCGGTCAAGCTCAGCAGCTCAAGGAGCTAAGGGAGCAAGCAAGGTCATCCAAAACCCTGGAGATGGTCAACACCTCACCTCATCCTTTGACCGAATCTCATGGAGAGCACCGCAATTGCCTAGCACGTTGAGAAGAACTCGCCAGATCCAACAAACTAGCCAACTACTTACTAATATCTTGCCCAAATCTGTTAGGAGGGCGACTATAAATTGTAAGTCTCATCAACACTTGGGGGGCAGATCATACTTTACCTGAGCACGACTCTCTCCTCTCCCTCAAAGCTTGTACTCTCTGCTCCCCACACCCCTGAGTTAATAAAATACCCGGCAACCAGAGTCATTGAAGAGTGGACGTAAGTTGAGCTGACCGAACCACTATAAATTGTCTGTGTCTCTCCATCTCCTGATATTATTTTCTTACACTTATTATTCACACTTGATAGGTGGTGTGCAAAATTATTTTGTGCATCATCACCCCTAATTGGTTCGCCCCTAACAATTGTTGGGTGCAATGCTGGAGTAAGATAACTAAATAAGCAGAAGAATCTGATGATTATGACAAAAAATCTGATACCTCAACATTATAATCAGAATAGTGTTTTATATACTTTTCAAGTATTCTATTGAATAAAATTTCTATGAAAAACGTTTAGGGGAGGGTTTAAGCACTTTCTAAATCTACTTGTTGACAAGTCAACTATAATAACATCATAATGGGAATTATTTTCCAACAATGTTATATTGGGAATTATTTTTAAAGAAAGTATTATTTTGGACAAAAACTCCACTTTTATGTCCAAAAATTATTTGAATGTACTAGAAGTGTGTCTGTAGTGTATTCATAGTTTTTTTTCTATGTAAAAGTAATAATGGGACAAACAGAATATATTCACAAATATTTTATATAGAAATATATTATATCATATTTAAATTTTTTGAGAGTCATCCAGGCTCCACCCTTATGTGTGAATCCTTGTGCACGGCTAGAGCTGATGAAGCTGTGTTTGGAACACAAGGTTGTTTCTTCATCAATCCCTCCATGTTACACATCACTCATGAGAGAGAGAGAGAGAGGGATGCTGCGGGGTGTATTTGTTTGGACCAAAGAAGAAGGATATGCTTATATGGGTGACGAAGCAACACTTTGTTTAATTGTAGGACAAATTAAAAAATTTAATAGGAAAAACAAGTCGTCTGTTGAGGTAAGGTATGGATGAACCCTACCTTGATATAGTAGATGAGGAGGTGGAGAATTCAATGGTCTCCCAATTCTCCTATCATATTGAGAGAGAGAGAGAGAGAGAATGATACTAGAGTACTCATGTCATCACAGAAAGTAAGATAACTTAGAAAATAAGTTAAAAATCGCAGTATTTGGAGAATTGATTTTAGGGTGCAATTTCATTTTTAGTTGAATTTCATTCTTTCTACTGAATCTACTGCCAAAAAAGTGTCATCAATGGAAACTTTAAAAGTATAACCTTCAGATCTAGTTCTACAGAACTTTTCTAGCATGTTTCCCTTTCTATTACAAATTTGTACCAAAAAAAAAACATTCGAAAACATTAATGATTGTCAATGGTTGTTCTCGGATTCAAACCCATCAAAGTATTTACTTATATGTATATGAAAGTTCCTGAAGTATTGCAATTGCCTGAAGCAAACACATCAAAATCACGCAATATGTACTCAATTAAGCTAAGACGATCTTTATATAGATTGAAACAATCTGGAAGAATGTGGTATAATGGTTTCAGTGATTACTTGGTAAATGAAGGGTATGTTAACAATCTCATATGCCTATGTGTATTTATTAAGAAATCATAATCTAAATTTGCCATCATTATAATATATGTTGATGATATTAATTTTATTAGAACTTCTGAAGAGTTGATAAATTTGCTGAATATTTGAAAAAAGAATTTGAGATAAAAGATCTTGGAAAAACAAAGTACTGTCTCGACCTGCAGATCGAGCATACATTAAACGAAATTATTATTCATCAAACAACCTATACCGAAAAGGTCTTATAGCGGTTTAGCATGGATAAAGCATATCCATTAAGTACTACAATGGTTGTTCGATCTCTTGATATCAATAAGGACTCTTTTCATCTTACGGAGGAAAATGAAATGCTTATTGGTCCTGAAGTACCATACCTAAGTGCAATTGGTGCTTTGTTATACTTTGCACAATATACTAGACCTGATATAGCATTTGCAGTTAACTTGCTGGCAAGATTTAGTTCTGCACCAACTCGACGACATTGGAATGACGTAAAATATGTTCTATGCTATCTTCGTGGAACTGCAGATTTGGGTTTATTATACTTAAAGCAATCAACCAATGGTCCACAGTTAGTTGGATATGCATATTCTGGATAACTAGCAGATCCTCACAAGGCTCGTTCACAAGATGGGTATGTTTTCACATGTGGTGACACAACGATCTCATGGTGATCTACGAAGTAGACTTTAATTGCTACATCTTCCAATCTTTCTAAAATACTTGCACTCCATGAAGTGAGCAGTGAATGTGTGTGACTAAGGTTTGTAGTCCATCACATCCAAGATACTTGCAAGATTCGTCTTATTACAAATTCATCAACAACCTTATATGAAGATAATGTTGCTTGCATTACACAAATCAAAGGAAGGTCTATCAAAGATGATAGAACCAAGCATATTTCGCCATAGTTCTTCTACACTCATGAACACCAACAAAGTCATGAAATTGAAGTAAAGCAAATACGATCAATATAGTGACAATCTTGCCGATCTATTCACTAAAGCTTTACTATCATCAACGTTCAAGAAATTGATATATGACATTGGAATGCGTCGAGTTTGTGACAAATTCAAATGATTTCTAATCAAGGGGAGATTTTCATCAGGGGGAGTATCCACATCTAGATACAGGACATTTGAACGTTGTACTCTTTTTCCTTCATCTAAATTTTGTCCCATTGGATTTTCCTAACATGGTTTTAATGAGGCAACATTAGTGCATCTAATGCTATTATAAGATTCATCTGAATACGTACTCTTTTTCCTTCGTTAGGTTTTTTTCCACAAGGTTTTCCTAGCAAGGTTTTAACGAGACATATTATCTTAATATAATAGTCATCCAAGGGAGAGTGTTGTCAATATGTTGTATATAGATATGGATGAACTCTAGCTTACCAATTTAATAGGTGTTAGTATTTGACTATATAACTCTGTCCAAAGTTAATATTATCTTTGATGACCATTATGATTTGAGGCCTATGAAAGAAGGTTCTCACCACATTGAAAAATACAGAAGTTGAGAAGTTTATTCTCTAGCACATATATATTGTCTTTGTAAGTTTATATAATTCTCTTGCTTTCACAACAATTTTTTATTTGTTGACCTATTATTCTATGAATTGTTTGTACACTTAAGTTTTTATGATAGATTAAGGTGGTATTTAATAAAATTAAAAATTAAGTATTCAAAATTGAACACTAAATTTTAAATGATGAATGCTACTTGTTTTTTAGTCTAAAAATTATTTGTGATGATACTAGAAAATTGGCTAAGGTTGAGCTCGGGTTATGCAGCTCGGGCGTCTGAGCTCTAATTACATGGCTTATGATAAGAATGCGTAGGTCGGAGACCTCCATCTACAAGATCCTCGTGAGCACGATGATAGCGACAGCTGGCACCTATCAGAAGGCTGCGTATAAATCCCAATGGCCCAACATTCTGTCAAGTGAGCCACAACCGTCTTAGCACTATCCATGCTGATTAGGCAAAGAAAGCATCGGTTATGAAGAAATGACAAGGATCACGCAAGGCAATCAGGCAAGACATCTGAAGGTTATAAATAAGGATCAAATCCCTCACAATGTAACACAAGCAATCTATCTGCAATATAACCCTGTGTAAATTTGCCTTTTGATTAATAGAAAATCTCCTAAGAGCAAAAGACTTCATTAGAGTGGATTAGTCGAACTTTCGAGTGGGTAAACTACTATAAACTCACTGTTCATCAAACTGTGACACAAAAGCCCCAAGAGCCTTGAAGCTGAAAACTGCATATTCCAGTGATTCCTAATCCTCTAGATAACACGCCCTTGCTCCGTTGTGTAGAACATTACCATCAATTTGGTATGTAATGAAATTTAAATATAGAATCAAATTCAATTTTTTGATAAGTATAAAGAGTAAAATTCTACAATTTATTGATTTTTTAATTTTTCCATTGCCCTTTACCACCCTCACTACCAATATCACCGCTATTTCAAAATCACCACCAAAACACATACACACACACACACACACATTTTTGCCACTATCGTCGCCGCCACTCCATCACCTGCTCCACAATCCCACCACAACCATCCCACTGTCGCCACTACCATACTACCACTATGACCCGTTACAGCCGAACATTGTTACCACTATTGCCACCATCCCTCCACCACCATAATGCACATTCCACGACCATCACTTCAACCACCAACCCGACACCACCTCCATCACCTTGGTGTCACCACCCCTCCACCACCACCACCATCAATAACCATACCATCCCACCATCACTAACACTACCTTCGCCGATGCTTTCCATTTGCAAGACCTAAAACTTTATTCCTCAACCCTAATAACTATGTGAAATCAGTTAAACAACCATAAATTAGCCAATGAACAAAAGAAGAGTCATAAATGTCAACAATTTTCAGCTATGCAAGCCGCAAGCCTATTCTCTCCATAGGCATCCATGTGAGAAGCACCCAAAGGAACCACCAATGGCCACCCATTAAGCCCTTGCATGAAGCCATACACATCCACATCTACAAAGCAGCAACCAAAGAAGCCACTACCTGAATTTTCACCACCCTATCTCTCTTCTTCTTCCCCATTTCCAAACCCATTAAGCTTTTGCATGAAGCTATCCAAATTTGCAAAGCCACCACCTAAATTTGCACCACACCATTTCTCTTCTTCTCCCTTAACTGAAAACCCCGTTTAGCTCTTGCATGAATTCATCCAAATCTTCTGAATTTGCACGACCACATATCTTTTCTTTGAGCATGAGGGCATCCACATCCAAACCTGTCAAGCTGCCTAGAAAGCAACCACCTGAATTTGCACCACTCCATATCTTTTCTTCTATCTTAATTCTCTCGTTAAACTCTGAGGGATGAAACCCAGAACGCAGGTCCATTTTTTGGTCACTGAATTCTTGTAAAACATGCTTTGCACTCCTTTTCTTGGGTATCTTGCTCTCTTCTTAGTGCAGCAATCTTCTTTGGGCTTTCCAGTGAGTCTCTGTACTAGTTCCCAAAAGTTTGATGCGTCTGTCTTGAAGATCTTCGGTGCAAATATGTGAATTATGTGAATCTTGGGCTTGACTTTGGATATTGCTTGTGAGTCCTTGTGCATGGCTAGTGCTAATGTAGTAGTGTTTGGAACACAATATTGTTTCTTCATTATCCCCTCTATGGTATACATCAGGCTATGTGTGTGAGTGAAAATAGAGAGAAAGTAGAAGAGGGGTGTTGTTGTCGATTTATTTGTTTGGAACAAAAAGAGAAGGATACGCTTATAAACATGGGCGAAGCCGGCATATGCCCAGAGCCCACCCTCAAATTTTTTTCTTACAATTACCAATATGTGTTTTAAGTATTTTTTTAATATTTTTAATTATGTCTATCTTATTTTGTTGGCACATCAATTAGTGTACACTTATATCAAATGAATATGAATTTTTTGAGATATTTTGGACAGGTTGTATACCTATCTAGATAAATTTTGAATATACTAGAATTATTTTATACTTTTTAAGACTAAAAAAGACATTATAGGCATATTCGCTAGTTTTCTTGTGATTTTGATATTTATTTTTGCTAATTGTGATAGAAATTATAGAGTGCATGTTGAACTGCATAATTGATCGAATGAGTTATGAATACCAAAGTGATAACATGATTGTGCACATAAAAAATAATAAAGTTGTTATGCAACGATTTCAAAGTACAAAAATTCATCTGAGTCAATTTTAAATTATTTTAATTAGCCTATATTTTGTATAAAATAAAATGTTGGCTTACGAAATTTTGGTATATTGGATTTAATGAACTTTTAAGTATTAAATAAGATGTAATTAAATATACAATTGTAAGAAAAAAATTTAGTTTGTTGAAATATTCGTGTCCACCCCAACACAATTTTTTGACTCTGCTCCTACTTATATAGACAAGGAATTAACATGTTAGCTCTAGAACAAAAGAGAAAAATTAATAAGAAAAACAAGCTATCTTTTGGGGCAAGGATTGGATCATGGATGAACCCTACTCTGAGATATTGGAGGAGGGGCCAATAAAATGGGCAATGCTATAGTCATAATTTGGGACCTAATGATGTGATTTTAATGTAACAATTAGATTAGTTGTGAGTTGTAATGTTAAATGGAGTTCACTATCAATCCAATAGTTAAATTGAATTAGGCTCTTAAATTAAGTCTAAATAACATTTTCCCAATAACATATAGAACTAAGTCAATGCTGAACACCCACTATACCTAGAGAGAGAGAAGGGGGGATTAACGCAATGAAAAAAAAGGACCATTTTTGTCATTTCTGCTACAATTACATGTATAATCTCTATCTCTGAAAAACAAATTCAATGTGATAATATATAGTCATCGAAACTTATTATCACCAATTAATAATAAATCAGACTAGTGAACCCAACTTAATCAAAAAAGCAATGTTAGTGAGACATAATTTGGAGATTTAATGATTGTCACTATTGGATTGTCAATAATTAAATCTCCAAATTATGTCTCTAATTAAATATATTGACGATATCACAAATCAATGATAATGTGATTATTTTTAAGAGGGAAAGATGACCACCCTTTCCTTTTTCACTTGCACCATAAATGTTTTAAATGTACAATTTTTCACTTATTACCCCACTGTTGGCAGCTAATAAAATAGTGGGGTTATTAGGTTTTCGCGTTCTCATTTTAAAGGTGAGCAATTTTATTTGGTCTTTTTTCGACCCGGATCTTGAAGTTGTGCAATGTATTCATCCCTTTCAATACGTCATCTATAATATATATCAATGGCAAGCAATATGTCGCTAGGTCAAGAGTTTAGAAATCAAAATCTCTTAAAATAGGAATAAAATTGCCTACCATGTATATCTCTCAAATACGTCTATAAGCATTAACTTTGTGTGTTGCGAACTTTATGAAAAAAAAAATTTGTGTGTTGCGTACCTTTTCTTGAGATAATGACAAGCGCTATCTCGCAAGTTTGAGAGTTCAAAAATCAACATCTCTTAAAATGAGAATAACACTATCTATCATGTATATCTCTCAAATCCTGTTGTAAACGGCAACTTTATGTGTTGTTGCCTATAATTTTTGTTTGATTTTATTTTATAAACATTGTGATTATCAAACCCAATAAGTAGTATTTCATAGTATTCTCTATTGATTAGCCATTGTTTTGTGAACAAAAAAAATACATGTACAATGTGGTTTCATCACCATTAATAATTGTTAGAAGAAGTGGTACTATGAAATACTTCCAAAAAAATTTGCTTCTTCTATAAATTTAAATCATTGTACTCAAAAATAGGTGGTGAGAACTACTAGGTATGAAAAAATTATTTGACCATTGAGCTTTGTAGTTAGCTCATTGGCTTCAAAATTTTTTATGTAATTGGAATATCTAGAGTCCCAAGCAAGAGAGCTAGATGCACCTTGTTAACTATGCATTCTCAATGAACTCCTCGTTCTAATCCGTATGTGCTTAGTGTTAGACCAAAATTAGTTTTTTAAGTGTAAAAACTAAATTTTTGGTTGACTTTGAGCTTAAATTAAAGTGGGACCCACCCATTGGTTATTTCAAATTATTTGTGTTTATGTCAAAGACACAAATAATGGATATGTCATTGTTGTTTGCCTATACGTGGATGATATGCATATTTTTGGTAGTAATAATAATATTATTACAATTACCAAGAAAATGTTATCCAATGTGTTTGACATGAAAGATTTTGGTATTGCAGATGTTATAATAGGAATTAAAATTTCTAGAACATCTGATGGACTTATATTGTCTCAATCACATTATATTGAAAAAATTATTGAGAAGTTCGACAAAAATGAAAGCATTATTGCTAGAACACCAATTGATATAAATCTTCATTTGTCTAAAAATACTGGTCAAAGCATATCACAATTGGAATACTCTTATGTCATTAGCAGTCTAATGTGTGTCATGAACTGCACTAGACCAGATATAGCATACTCAGTTAGTAAATTGAGTAGATATACGAGTAATCTAGGAGTAGACCATTGGAAGACAATTATCAAGGTTCTTAGATACTTAAGATATACCGTAAATTGTGGATTGCACTATACAAGATATCCAGCTGTACTTGAAGGGTATAGTGATGTAAACTGGATATCCGATATGAAGGATATAAAACTCACAAGTGATTATGTTTTTACACTTGATGGTGCAGTTGTATCTTGGAAATCCTCTAAGCAAATGCGTATTGCCAGATCCACAATAGAATCTGAATTTATTGATTTAGATAAAGCAGGAAAAGAAGCTGAGTGGCTTCACCAATTTCTAGAGGATATTCCAATATGGCCTAAACCTGTGCCAACAATTTGTATATATTGCGATAGTCAATCTGCAATTGGTATGGCACAGAGTGACATGTATAATGGTAAGTCTAGACATATACGTCGTAGATATAATACCGTGAGACAATTGCTCTAAAATTGGATTATTTCTATTGATTATATAAAATCAAAGGATAATCTAGCGGATCCACTTACTAAAGGTTTGGTGAGAGAGCAAGTAAATTGTACATCGAAGGGAATGAGATTAAAGTCTATGACACAAGAGTCACATTAATGGCAACTCAACCTAATTGACTAGAGATCCTAAGATCTAGGTTCAAAGGGACAATCGAATTATGCGTGATTTAAAAGAAGCACTAAGGAAATAATCTCTCCTACCTATTCATATGATAAACTAGTGTTGCTTGTAGAGTTTATTAGGGTAAATTATGCTTTTAATGACTCTTATATCTTGGAAAATCCAAATAGGATATTGCAGGATATTTATAATATGAGTCACCTATATGAATGTGAAGGGGCCGCTCTATGAGAATTTGTAAATGCTGAATTCTCTAAAGTACTCATGAAAACCATGAGTTGTTCAGGGTCAAATGAACACAATCATGACAATCAATTGTGTTAGGAAAGAGACTATGTGAAGTCTATTCGATATGATTTATCAAACAGCTGAATAATTCAAAACATCACGTTCACTATTTAGCCGGTAAATCCGATGAGCTTTTACTAGGGAAGGTTCAAGGCCAAAAACTACATATCTCGATGCACGATTTTTTCAAAAATGTACTCTCTATAGTGTGTCAACATTATCATTTGCATACTATCAGCCAAGTTTTCATTCATGTGGGGGATTATTAGACCAAAATCAATTTTTTAAGTGTAAAAATTGAATTTTTGATCGACTTTGAGTTTAAATTAAAGTGGGACCCGTTAATTGTTTCAAATAAATTTTTGTGGGTTCATATTCAACTATATGAAAAGAATAATGCAATATATTCATTTGCTCAAATCGAGTGAAAAATGAATGAGAAAATAGACTCCGAAGTAACCCTCTTGAAGTGTGAAAATAAAGAATGTTCCACATTGAAATTTGACACCAATTCCACATTGGTTGAGAAAGAAATTTAACATGGGCATATATAGGTCAAGTTTGCTCTATGGGATTGGGCCCCAAGGGGTATCACAGTTTTATGAGCGGAGCGAGCACCTATGCCTTCGGTTTGACCGGCCGGGCTCGGGTGTGAGTGTGATCAAGCCCTATCTTTTTGAAAAAAATTCTTTTAATTAATGAGCGTGAATTTCTTAACTCAAAATTTAATTTTGATATCCATTGGATATAAATTCGGATGTGTTGCTTAACTCCAGTCCGAATTAAGTTGTGTCTGTTCATACAAAACAGTTACACAAGTGGTGTCTACTGATTATGAGTTGTGTCTTTTAGTTTGGTGAATGTCTGAAAAGTCACCAAAGTGTCTATAAATACTCAGACTAATTACCATTTTGCATTCGTTACATTAATCAGTCCATATACAGAGTTAAGTGAAACATTAGTGCATAGCATTTTCGGCATTAAAACAGTCTACATTTGGTGAGTACACAACACAATATTTGTATGCTGGACGAGTAGATTGAAGTGCTACTTCGGCTCGTGTAAAAATTATTGTATCCTGGGAGACAGACGTTCAATATTTCATAAGCACCGTGTGTGAGGGCAAAATCTGTCTTAAGGACATAGTGTCAAACACTAGTCTTGATTTATCTAAAGTTCAATAACAATTTCTGTTTTGCGACCGAGTTAGTATTTATATTGTTTAAACAAACAGTTACGTGTAACTGTTTGTTATTA